ATATAATTTTGAGGCATGGTCTCACCAAATTGCCCAGACAGGGCTTGTACTTTTGATCCTCCTGCCTCAGCCTCCCAGGCTACTGGGATTATAGGCCTATACCACCATGCCCAGCAATGTCCTTGTTAGAAAATAGACAGTGGTAAAGACTCAACACATGTACGTTTTCAAAATACTTCAGAGAAACATAAATTGATAGCAAACATAGTAAAGCATTTGCAGTTGGGATGAAGGGCATATGCAGATTCTTTGTACTATTTTGCAGTTAAATCCAAAAAATTTCAAAATGAAATACTTGAACAAAAAAGACAGCCAGGGGGCTGGGGAGATGACTCAGTAGGATAAGCGCTTGACTGGCAAATGCAAGGATCTGAGTTTAATCCCCGGTTCTGGGAAAAAAAAAAAAAAAAAAGACAGCCAGATGTGGTGGTATGCACCTGTAATCCCAGCTACTGGGAGACTGAAACAGGAGGATCACAAGTTAGTGGCCAGCCTAGGGAATTTAGCAACACCTTATCTCAAAATAAAACTTTTTTTAAAAAATGTATTTGGTACAGGATCTCACTACACAGCTTGACTCATAACAATCCTCCTGTTTTCAGCCTCCCCAGCACTAGGATTATAGACATGTGCCACCAATCTCAGCCTGGTCTCAAGCTCTGTGCACCTAGGGGTGGGGTGCTACAGCACGTGGTGCCCCATGCTTGCCTAAGCAGGTGCTTAGTCCACTGACTATTTTACAGACCCCAACTAAAATGTTTTTAAAAGTGCCTGGGGGGCCAGGGAGATGGCTCAGTGGAATAAGTGCTTCCCTGGCAAGCGCAAGGGCCTGAGTTCCAATCCCCGGTCCTGGAAAAAAAAAAAAAAAGTGCCTGGAAGGGCTGACCAGATAGCTTAGCAGATTAAAGTACCTGCTTAAGCAGATGCAGGGGTTGGAGTTTTGATCCCAGGCCTGCCTGCTGGCCACGCCCCGATGAGATTGTGATTGAGACTTGGCATGGTGATGTGCATCTGTAATCTCAGCACTTGGGAAGCTGAAAACAGGAGAATCACTAAGAGTCCAATCTATGTAGTGAGACCCTGTAGCCCCTGCACTAAAAAAAAAAGTTCCTGGGATGTAGCTCAGTAGCAGAGCCCTTGCCTAATTAGCACAAGACTCTGGGCTCCCTTGCCAATACTACAAAATAATAACAATAAAAGAGGTAATTCCTGAGGTCTATAACAAAACGGAGGGGCTGGAGCCTGGTAGGCGAGAGGCTCTGTGTGGGGGTTGGTTCACATTCAAGGTCAGCCTTTCAGGATGTGTGGTCAGGGGAGTGGGACTGGCCTGGGGCCAGAGGTGGGGCAATGGTTGCCTAAGCTGTGAATGTCCTCAATGCCACTAAATGGAAAGTTGTAAATGTGATACATGCTATTATGCATATTCTCTCTCTCTCTCTCGCTCGCTCTCTCTCTCTCTCTCTCTCTCTCTCTCTCTCTCTCTCTCAAATGTATTTGGTTGTTACAGGGTCTCACTATGCAGCTTGGACTCCTGGTATCCTGGTGATCCTCCTGCTCAGCCTCTACAGCGCTGGGATTACAGGCATGGGCCACTATGCCCAGTCTCTGTGGCTGGCTCAGCCTGCCCTGGAGGAGCTGGTTTGGCATGTGGTACCGAAGATCAAACCAGAGTCCCTGCGCTTGCCTAAGCAAGTGCTTTAGTCTGCTGAGCCATCTCACCTCAGTTTTTAAAACTGAAGAAAAGGGCTGGCTAAATAGCTCAGCAGATTAAAGTGCCTGCTTAGGCAGATGCAGGGGCTGGGGGCTTGATCCCCGGGCCTGCTGGGCCACCCCTGCTCCTGGGGTGCACTGAGTGGGCGATGGAGACTGAGCATGGTGTTGTGCACCTGTAATCCCAGCACTTGGGGGGCTGTAAACAGGAGGATCACTACGAGTCTGATCTATACAGTGAGACCCTATAGATACTGTAGACCCTGTCCTAAAAAAAAAAAAACCAAAACAAAAAAACCTGAAGAAATCAACAGATAGAGAGTGGAATTCTCATCTCTCTACACGTGCCCTCAAGCCATTTGTCTTCCTCTCAGCCTGAAGACCCCCTGCCTGTACACTGTCCCCAAGCCCCTGAGGAGGACAAGGCCTCCATCTGGTCCCCACAACACAGACTCTTCCTCACTGGGGATGTCATTGGGGTGCATGCGGCATTTCAAGCTTGCCTTCCCTTCGCTGATTCTCATCATTCTCATTGTGCAGCTTCCCCCAGGACCAACCTCCCCGCTCCCCACCCAGGTTCCTTCTGCACTCGGACCTGGCCCTGCCCTCTTGGCCATTTGTCCAGCCCTGCCAGCCTCCTTTCCAGCTGCTGCCTCCCTGCCTACCCTTCCCCATGAAGCTCAAAGGCTAAAGTGCTGTTCCCACAGAGCTCTCCCCTCACATGGCCTGGCACTGTCCTGTCACAGTGGCACAGGGACTACCTCCATCTGAGCACACTGCTGCAGTGTCACTGAACAGTCCATTCCTTGAACTGCCCTGGGCTCCTAGAGGCAAGGGCTTGTGGCACCCAGAACTTCGGGCCTGACGCAGATGGGCACTGGATGTAGGCTGGGATGTTACTAGCTAAGGAAGCAGTGGGCCGATGGGGACCTAAGGCACAGAGCCCCTGGACTGGGGACTGTCTCACCTGTCTTCAGCAGGGTCCCCAGGACACGGGAGACCTCCAGGAGGACAGCTGTGCCACTGCTGGGGTCCACAGCCCCATGTACCCAGCTGTCTCGGTGGTTTCCATACACCACATAGCGATCTGCCAAGAGGGACAATCAGGGAGACAGAGATGGAGGGGGGTAGGGGTCCAGCCAGGTGGGACTGTGGCCATGCAGGAAGAGGAGTGGCTGGGTGCTGAGGCCAGCAGGGTCCTGGGACGCAGGGCGTGTGCAGAGAGCTCACCAGGCTCCACGGCCCCGCGGATGATACCCAGGACGTTGGAGGAGTTCCTCAACTCCAGGTGGTTGTAGACACTCACTTGCACCTGGCTGGGGAAACAAGACTCTTTGCCTTATCCTCTGTCCCCCTACTTAGAGCAGGAGAAACTGGGGCCCAGGAAGTGAAGGAGACATAGTCACTTTCCTAGAAGGACCAAGAGAGGTAGCAAGGCTGGAGCCCAGCTCTTTTGGCTGGAACCCTGCTGCGCCTTCACCCGCTCAGCCCACCATGGGCATCTCACCCTGGTGCTAGAATGCCTCCCTCTCTTAAGCCAGGCAGTCCACAGGGAGCGGAGGGCCTGCGGGGCCAGGGATGCTGTTGCTGGGGGGCTGACACCAGGTGGGGGTGGGAGTGGCAGAGGCAGAGGGGGCTGACACCAGGTGGCAGAGGCAGAGGCAGAGGAATGTGGAGTAGGGTAGGCCGGGCATGGTAAACCCTTGGGAAACTGGTGCGCTTTTTAACTGCTTCCTGGGCTTCCCCCAGAAGGCATGAGAGATTTGGGGGGTCAGGGGAGAGGTTAGAAAAGAGAAGGAGGAGGAAAGGCCAGAGCTTGAGGTGGGAAGAAGCAAAGGCAGGAAGGAAAAAAGTAATGGGGTAGAGGAAAGAGGGAGAAAGCAGGGCCACTCACCTGTTTGTGGTGAATTTTCCATCCTTCTTGAAGCCAGGCCCCAGATAGTACTCACAGTCCAGTGCTCCCTGCCAGGACGTGGGGGCCAGAAGCCCCCCAAGGTTGCTGGGGGAAGAGGCCATGGGTGAATGCAGTGTAGCTGGCACATGTGGCCACAGGGAGACTGGGGTCTGGACAGGCTCACCAGAGCAAGTCTTGGGCATGCTGGAAGCTGATGGGCTGTGCAGGGATGGGAGGAACCCCAGAGACATTGTCCCAGTTCAGGCGGAAGGAAGAGGGGTGTGCTGGAAGATAGGGAGTCACAGGGTCTCCAAAATACTCTTGGTAGGAGCCCCGCTCCACGCCAGAGGGAGGCAGGCCCCAAGAGTAGGGGAAGGTCTCGTTGGGCAAGCTGCGGCCATCGTTGATGTCACCAGGGTCCGTGTACACCAGCACCCCAGCCACCCCGTGCCTGGCAGCGTTCACAGCCTGCAGTAGGAGGAAGAGGCAGTGCATCAGGAAGGACAGGCTCAGCCATGTCCTGCTTCTTTCCTCCCCTCCTCCACTGGGGATGGGATGGATCTGGGCATCAATGACTGGGCTACTTGCAACAACAAAGGACTGTTGGACACAGCCATGTTGATGCCTGTCAGGCAGTCTCATTAGATAAACAGGGACATTCTGGGATGGAATATCACACAGCTGCGTAAAAGAATAAGGTGTGCTATGCACCCAAGTTCATACCAGTTTCTTTCTAGTACAAAAGGTAGCATATTACATACCACATTTTTCAAGTTAAAAAAATACTATTCTACCTTTAAAAATAATAAAATTTGGGGCTGAGGCTGTAACTCAGTGATAGAGCATACACCTAGCTTGTCCCACAGCCCCAGGTGGGGCTTAATCCCTGATACCAACAATGAAATTACAGTTCTCATGCGTTATCAGTGCACTGTGAAGATATTCTGCTAAGTCAAATAAGCCAGACAGGAAAGGGCAAATTCCACAGAGTGGATAGAAAAGTGAAATTCATAGAGAGGAAACAGAACAGAGGTTACCAGAGGCTGGGGCTGAAGTAGAGAGGAGGTTTGGTTAAGTAGACTTTCTCATAATGAGAGCAACACGGGCTGGGCACTCACAGTGGTGATGGTTAATACTGTTCATGTATTTCACGCCAGTGTGTTGTGCACTTAAAAGTGTGAAAATCGCTGGAGAAATAGCTCAGCAGTGTAGCGCCTGCCTGGCAACCTCTCAAGGTCCTGAGCCTGATTCCAGGTACAAAAAAAAAAAAAAAGTGAAAATGGTCAGTTTTGTGTTATGTCTTTTTTTTTTTTTTTTTTTTTTTGTTCCAGGAATTGAACGCAGGACCTTGTGGAGTTCAGACGGGTGCTGTGCCACTGAACTATATTTTTTACCCCATCCAGAATGCTTTCATCTTACACTTATATCCACTCAATGTTTATTTGTTTGTCTGAGACAG